CCCGCCGTTTGCTCGTTTCCGGTGAGTAGAAATCTGCCCCCAGACGCGAGGAATTTGAAAAAGTTCCAAAATGGCGGCCGATTAAAGTTCAAAATGGCCAAAATTTGCACCTCGGGCTGTCGGCTGTTTGCCTGAAACTCTGGCAGAGTGTAGTATCTGTGCAGTATATCTGTGATATTTCCGCACGAGAAAAACGAATTTGACGTTAGATTTTTAAAAAAACCCGAAATGTCCAAAATGGCCGAATATTTACACATCTAATTACAATTTAAGGGGCTTGGAGGACAAGACGCGTAAGTGCAGTTCTTGAAGGAATTTTTGGATCGAAAATGTATCGAAAAAGTGACCCGAACTCGGCGCACACCGGGCTCGGAATTCGTCGAGCAGAACATGGCGCCAGCTCTTCCATTTACATTACGACTCAATGTACTCTATGTCTGTTTCCTACATATTCGAGCCGGAATTTGAATTTCCCGCGTAAGATTCGAATTCGAATTTGCCGCCTCACCAGTCATCAGGCAACAGATAAACATTCAACGGCATCAGTGTCTATTTTTTTAATGTTGGTTTTTTTTGCTGACTTTTTTTTCATGGTCGTTTTTTTTCTCGATGCGCTGCCTTTTTTTTTTTTACTTGTGTTTATTTTTAAGGGTCACGGAAATCGTTCCATACTATTCCTTTGAGAGTATTTTTTTTCCCCCCTAAAATCCTCCAAATAGAGAACAATGGCAGAGGCGTCAAAAGCAGTGCATCTTACTGACATGCAACAATCGTACATCGCATTTTTCCGGAAAAATCCAACATATTATAAAACACACACAAGCACCTGATCCTGATGTTAAGATGAAAATGTAGCAATCGTTCCCACGTTATTTTAAATTCAAGTTGTTCTGTTTTTGCCGCGTCAGCATCATCGAATAGGAGCCTGCTAAACATTTCATTAGTTCCCCGTTTCCACTCCACGCCAAGCACCACTCATAAAACTATAAAACCTCCATAAGTCCAAAATCAGTTTATTCATGCTGGGCAATAGGCCCATTGCCCAGCATGAAAATAAAAAATAAAATTTTTATGTAATATATATATATATATATATATCCCATTTCATGAAATGAGCAAAAATCTGCCCAATTCATGAACTGGGCAATTACACATTCTGTACGTAACATATATATACACATATCTCTCTCTCAGTCGATTTTCAATATCCAAGCGATTTCTAGGATTGTTTCGGGCAATTGGACAAAGAACGCTTTCTTTCTTGTGTAAAATTTTCCGGTCGGAAGGTTTCCTAGCCCGTTTTCTCAAAACTTCATTTTTTCACTTACTGCTCTCTTCGCTATCACGGCAGTATAGATGGCTGCAGATTCCTAAATTAATAAATAGATAAATAAATAAATAAATAAAACAATATATGGATTGATAGATAAATAAATAAATAAATAAATAAATAAATAGATAAATAAATAGATAGATAAATAAATAAATTGCAAAAAAAAAGGAAAGAAAAGGTTGTACAAATCATAGTTTTTCTTCAATTTTCATTTCGCGCAGTTGCGAATCATGTAGTTGATCTGTTTCCGAAATTTTCTGTGGAATTTTCTTCGAAATTAGTTGATTTTCCTTTTTATGGTGTTTGGTGTTATATGAAAAACAGAGACGAGGAGACCCTTCACTAAAACTGTTGGCGGCAGAAGGAAACAATTTCTTTCGGGAATTCAACATTTTCATATGGACAACTATACGGCAGTGTATGTCAGGCCTGGATTCGACGGCATACTTTTCTCAGGGACCCGGACCACGTACCTCATATCGGAACGAGTGGTGAGGCAGGATTACGGCATCAAAAATGTTATAAATGTTCAACAATTGAACACTGATGCTATTTTTGTCAAAAACTGTAATCAACTAGCTGCTCCGGGCGCCCTACGGGCGCCCCACTGCTAGTAATGGTGGTGCAGTAGCTTATTTGGAATCGGAGCAATTAGTTGAATCTATTTAATAATGATGAATAAAATGTCTGTAACAATACGTGTTGTTAGCAATACGCAATACTGCAGTTAATAAGTCAGGGTCAGTCAAGCCGCAGAGAATAAGATGCCAGGATATCAAGAAGCTGTGAAGCGGAGCAGCCGAGGGATTGCGAAGGAATGTGGGGTGAGTGGCGAGTGACGAACGACGATGCGACCCAAACCTCCTTCTTTAAGGTTGGTGGGAGGAGAGCTATACGAAAGAAAACGGTGATTGCCAAAAGAATGTGGCGGGAGGGGTGGCTGAGACCATAGAGGGGGAGGGGGCTACCTAGGGACGGGCAAGCAGGTAGCGGCTGGACGACCGCTCAAAACAGCTGAACTTTACTTGTCGATAAAAGTAAGAAAATTTGAGAAATCGAAAAAACGATCACAGTCTGCAAATCTACGGATCAGAGGCTTTCATTTAAAACAAAAATCATGCAAATCGATCCGGTGGTTCTCTAAAAATTAACGTCCAAAGATTCGGACCTCCGTTTTAATACATTGGAGAAAATTTGAGAAAATTATACGAGAAAATCTGAAAAAATCGAAAAACAAATTACAGCCTGCAAATCTACAGCTCAGGGGCTTTCATTTAAAAAAAGATCGGGCAAATCGGTCCGGTGGTTCTCTCAAAGTTAACGCCCAAAGATTCGGAACTTTGCATTTTATTATAAAGGATAGGATACTAGTTTTTTTTTTGTTTTTTTGTTTTTCTTTTTTTTGTAGTTTTTTCTTTACATATTGCGAGCGTGTCTTCAATTTTAGGTTCAGTTAATTTTATTGTTACTATTTTTAACATACGGGTTCTTGGTATAAACTTTGAATATCTAAGATTATTTGTTTGGTCAGTATTAATTTTAGTTATTAGTAGTTATTAAGTTTTTTAGTATAATTCACATTTTAGATGGCATTACAAACCTGATTGCCGGTGGCCAGGGATCCTGATTTTTGAACCCCTCGTCTGGAGTTTGAATATTAGCGCGCTTGATTTGCCTATTCAACGGCCTGTAAGCGTGCCTAAATCTATAAACTTTATATTAATCTGAGACAGGTGAAAAACTCATATTTTCCTTCATTTTCGCGTGATACCACATCACATACCTACTCCAGAGTCAAAATAGTTGCGCGCTAGATTTTTGCATAGGTATGTGTGATGATGCGACGATGCGAGTATATGCTTGCATTCATAAACATCAGTAATTTGAGACAGGTATGACAAAGTGATTCTACATCACACACCTACGCCTAAGTTTAAACAGATATGCGATCGACATCCTACTTTTCATAAGCAAGCGTAAAATCTACATTCATATGACATCAGTAAGAGGTAGATGAAAAGCTAAGATTTTCCTTCATTTTCGCGTGATACCACATCACATAGCTACTCTAGCTCGTGAATCGTACTTACTATCCAACATGAGGCTCATTAAATTCTCAGGGTTTAGGGGGCTTCATCTTTCTCTCCTCGACCCCCCCCCCTTCCTGCTTCTTTTCAGCGTTAGCATAAGGGCCCAGAATATGTGAACGGTTGTTCTTAAAGGGACCTTCCATGCAACTTATTTCACATGTGCCCTTTCGAAAATGAACCGGGGATGGTAGTTGCTCATTGCTAAATGTAGTCAAATTGAAGATACTATATGGATGGCCTTTTTTCATTGTCCCTGCTGGTAATTCGATATCGATTCAACAATCGAGCCGCAGTTTCTACACGGACGCATCACGACGGGCGCCGAATGAGATTACTCACGTTCGTCATCAGTGGCGTGGCGTGCCTTGCGATTTATCGATTGATTTGCCATGTAAACATATGGAAAAGGATCGACAAAGATTGTTCGCGACCAACACCTTGATAATCGATTCTTTACTACAGCTTCAAATGGAGAAATATCAATAATCGATCATTCCCGCCACGCCAATGTAAGTCATCAGTCTCACAACTCAAAATTCCTTGTGTCCCTTAACTGGACCATGCCAATGCAATAAGGAGCCACTATTTCTGGCGCATTTTAGAAACAACATACATGCCATTGGTTTCCATATGCAGATATGCGCTTTTATGAAAGAGTCAGAAATAGTGGAACCTTAAATTGCAGAATGCAATCCAATTATGAAGGGGAGCATAGCCAAGAAAGGGATTTATTTTTTCCTTATCGACGGTGAAAGTCGGCAATCACATAACTCGGTTTGCGACGTCGCAGACTTCCTGTCATACTTTATTTTTTGAACGGAAAACTACTCAACGGTAATTCTTTAAAACTGCCGTTATTTTTCTTCTATGTGCGAGGAGAATTCTGCAAAAACTTCAAGGAATCATGTCCATTTGTTCTCCTTTAAAAAAATAACATAGTTGCGGAGATTTTCAGACACCGCAAACGAGTTATGTGATTGCCGACTTGCACCGTCGTTATGCTCTTGCTATTGCTAAGAATTTCGACTTGAACGGCAGTACGTGAAGACACGCTCGCGTACTGCCGTTCAAGTCGAAATTTTTCTAGGTCCCTTAACAATCCGACATAGCGAGATTTAACTGTATCGCGAAATTCCTACGGAATATTCTGCAAAAAGAGAAGAAAGATCAAGGAAGTTTTCAAGAAATTACGTTGACTGGTTTTCCGAAGTAAAATAAAGTAAGGCAGGAAGTCTCCGACATCGCAAACAGAGATTTAAGGTTTTGCACTTCAGCTATAAACTCAGACTGTATTATGGACGGCGCACAGTAGAGAGTAGTACGGTGGCTTATATGCTTTGCGATGAATCGATTGATCTGTCATTTAAACCTATAGAAAAACGGCCGATAAGCAGGGTGTTTGTAACGAATAATTATAATAATCGTTTCTTCACCACAGCTTCAAATGGGAAAATATCGATAATAATCGATCGTTCACACCTCGTCTATGGTAGAGTGAGTCAATGGGAGAGGTCGAACATGAGTCGATTGACTACAACTGCAAATTTTGCTATAACGAAATAACGAGAACGAGCAGAGACGTTATCACACAGCGAGTTTATTCGATAGAGAAGACAGAGTGCGCCTCCACGGCCTGACCCTGACGGAGAGACACATCTCCGCCATTACATGTTACCAACCTATGGGATATTACAGCCTTCCCCACTAAAAAGAAAAAGCACATTGGCTGGGCTTGGGGTACAGAAAAATCACTAGGGGTACAATACAAATTATTTGGGGACAATTTGTCTTTCAAATGTCCTGGCACTTTTTTGATACGAGAAGGGCGGTCTAACACAGGCGACCGTATAGTTGCCCTACCTCTTCCTACACTTGGCAGCTTCCTAGGAGTCTGGCTTGTTAGGTCAATGACTGGAGGCGGAACGTCTTGATTCGCAGATTGGCTAGTTGACGGCAGAGAGACCGGGCTTGGCAGGCTACCATGGCTGGTAAGAGGCAATGGTTGCCTTACAAGGTGACTGCTTGAACCCTGAACAGTAGGCGGCTTCCGACTAGCTGAAGGTGAGCCAGGCGATGCAGGCTTTGCTACAGGTATGACAACCTGTCTTCCAGATGGCACTACATGGAGATCTGGAATGTCCCTTGGAGTTGGCATTTGCACTTGAAACGAAACCTGCTTTTTCGGCTTACTCTGTTGTTGCTCCGGGGTCTTGAAGTCAAGGAAACTTGCATCTCGCAGTTGGTCGATATGTCGCTTCAGTGTATACCCGTTGCTTAATTCTACTAGATAGTGGATTTTACCAAATTTTTTCCGGACGAGGCCGGGTTGCCATGAAGGTTTGTTGCTTCTATACACACGAGCGATTATCTTGTCACCAATTTGGAAGGAACGGAGGTGGGTGGCTTGACACGACGAATTTTTGAGCGGTTTGAATGGGTGAATGGCATCCAAGCGAAGTTTGATTCTACGCCCTAGGTAGCGTTCTGCAGGGCTAGATCCATCCAATAACGGTGTAGCTCTGAATCGCAGGACAATTTGACGCACTTTTTCTTGAATGTCACCAGGTTCTGCATCCATTTTTGATAATTTGGATTTTAATATTTGAACATAACGCTCTGCTAGGCCATTTGTGGCTGGCTTCCCAGGGGCAGTAAAACAATGGAAAATTCCTTTTGTTTTGCAATAATTGCTAAATTCTGCGTTGTCGGCGGAGAAAATTGAAGCATTATCTGAAACTAAAGTTTGAGGGTAGCCATGGAAAGAGAATATGTCTTCTAATAATTTGATAGTAGAATCTGTAGTAGGAGCTTTGCTAAGAATGCGGACTTCTGGCCACTTAGACTTGGCATCGACAAGGATGAGAAAATTGAATCCTTTCCTTGGACCTGCATAGTCCATATGTACTCTGGAGAAGTTTTGAGTCGGCTCTTCCCATTTATGGGTAGGAACTTTCTTAGGAGACTTCTGAGATAGCATGCACTGCTCACATGATTTGATTAATTTTTCAATATCAGAATCAATTGAAGGCCAGTAGACATATCTTCTAGCGAGTTGCTTTGTCTTTGTGATTCCTGAATGAGTTTCATGCAATTCTTTGAGTATTTGGCCTCTCAATGACTGAGGGATATAGACTCTGTTACCTCTGTAAACAATATCGCCTTCTAATACGTACTCCATACAGGCGGGGTCTTCGCTGCTGCTGCGAAGCTTGGAGATAATATCAACGAGCTTTGGATCCGATTCTGCTGCCTCTGCGATGTCGTAACTTGTGACATTGGCACTGGAAATTTGATTTAGCGTATTTTCATGACAAGCTGAGAGTTCGAAATCCAGAAGTGGTTGATTTCCCTGTAAATTGCGGCCTGAAACAGGGAATCGTGAAAGGTAGTCAACATTTGCATGAGCTTTACTGAGCCGATGCTTTACCTCATAGTCAAATGAGGAGAGGTAGGCTGCATAACGTAACAGCCTTGCTGCTGTCATGGGAGGTAGTTTCTTGTTCTGATGTAGGATTCTGGACAGCGGCTTGTTGTCTGTTATCAGGGTAAATTTGCGACCATAAATGTACATATAATATTTATCTAAAGCAAATACAATCGACAGAGCTTCTCTGTCTAATTGACTGTAATTTTTCTCAGCCGGGGTTAAAGATCTAGAAGCAAACATGATTGGTCTATCTGATCCATCAATGATATGAGAAATTACAGCTCCTAACCCTGTAGGGCTTGCATCACAGGCCACTGTGATCGGTAGATTCACATCATAAGAGACTAGCACATGATCACTGGCTATGATTTCTTTAAGTTTTAGAAAGGCTTTTTCACAGGCATCGGACCATTTGAATGGATGGTTTTTTGAAAGTAATTGACGGAGCGGGGCTGTTAAGGTAGATGCATTGGGAACAAAACGTGAGTAATATGTGACTAGTCCTAAGAATTGCATCACGTCACGGCGGTTCTGCGGTCTCACTGTCTGCAAAAGATCAGAGATTTTCCTTGGGTCTTTATACACATTTCTTCCTTGAATGATGTAACCGAGGTAAGCAATTTTATCTTTAAAGAAATGACATTTTGACAAATTGATATGCAAATTTTTCTCCTGCAAACGCTTCAACAATGCAATTAAATTTTTATAACACTCATCATAATTTTTCCCATGCACTATAATATCATCGAAATACCAAATAATACCTGAAAGTCCAGCGAGTAGACGACCAAGGATCTGGTGGAACTGGCTGGGGGCTGTTTTGATTCCCAAGCTGAGCCTGTTCATGAGGTAAGTGCCTCTATGCGTAGAGATGGCTTGAATTTTCTTTGCTTCATCATCCATTTCAACGTGTAGGTACGCTTTGTATAGATCGATCTTGCAATAAACTGAAGATTCCTTGAGTTCGCTTATGAGTTCTTCGATGCGAGGAATCGGCTTGCTAAAAATGTTCCGTGTGGATGATTTCCATGAAGTTGATTTCCATGAAAAAATGACACGGAAAAATGGAACAGGAAATATTTCCATGTGGCTGATTTCCGTGTGGCTGATTTCCATGTGGCTTATTTCCATGAAAATTTTTCATGGAAACGAAATCATTTCCGTGAAAATTTTTCATGGAAACGAAATCATTTCCGTGACAATTTTTCATGGAAAGAAAACCATTTGCATAAAAATGATCACAAGAAGGTTTCAGTACCATCCAAATTGCTCACGGAAATTAAATAAATCTTAGAATCAAGACAAAGGAGACAAGCGTCCCAATGGGAGCACATGATATTTGGACCATGCAGACATGCTCAGTAAAATAGAAAATGAACAAACAACACTCACCAACTCGCTCAAATCTGTAATCCACTGGGTCAGAAAAATCCACTTGAAGACAATAAATCCAAATTTCCGATTAGAACTGGTGCAGGTACGAAGGAACTTTTGAAAACACGATGAGTGCATTGTAAAAATATCTAAAGCACTCTTTAACGTAAGAGAAAAATTAGCACCATGATTTACTAGCTGATCAATACAGAACACCACTCTCAGAAAAGCACTGACACAACACGATTTTTCAGTTTAGTTTTAGAGGAGAAAGCATTTTTCAAAAGATGCGACATCATAGATCCACAGCTTAAATAATTTCACGATTTACTACGATCATTGATGATATTAAGGTAGCCATCGATTCTCTACCCGACGTTCCTTCCACACATGACAGGAAACATCTACAGGCATAGAGCAAATGGCACTGAGCAGCAATGTACATCTGATAAGGCAAGCTCTTGGAAGTGTCGATCTGCAAAAATACAAAGCGGGAGACAGATCATCAAATTGATCTACCTATGGTTAATGGCCGTCCTTGGAGACAGACAATAAACTACGTAACAATATATCAACCACCTTTTGATAACAGAACGAATTTAAAATGAGAGCAAGACCCTTCCTTATGGAGGGAGGGCCAAGAAACATTTAAAAACGGAACATTTTACTACTGACAGGTCTGAGCCACTGAATAAAATACATTCCACCAGTCAATAAAATTTTAAATTTTGAATGTTGATGGATAACCTGATTGCCAGTATACATTGAGTTGAAACATCTGATACGTAGAGCGGTTCATTCTTATAGAAGCTTCCGAAGTAGTTCCAGATAGGTACTTTAAAATTAGACACCGGTCAAATGTAGTACAAGAGAGGAAATGGGTGCAACAAAACTTTAATTGTCCTTGATTCTTTTGAAGACACAAGGAAAATGCAGGCAGTATGAGGATGTTCCAACAGACTACCTATAGCACTCGCCTGCAAGAGTTGGGAAGTTTCTACTTGTGATGAAGTCCGCGGATAATAAGATTTGCACTTAGAGAGTGCAACAGAAGATCCACCATCTTGATTCTGGTCTTTCCCTTCAATGCTAAATAGATGAAAGATTATCTCCCTTCCCACGGAAGGAGTGGATAGATTTATTAGACGTAGACTCTTCGATCAACTTCGTAACCACGGTTAGGAATAGCACATGGTAGTAAATGCATTCGCAAACCAAGAGAATAGAATTCACAATTACCTCGCTCGTTAGAACATATCGACTGAATCGTAAATCGGCAAAGAAAATTAAACTCGAGTTACTTGATCAGTATAGCTTGACATGACAAATGTGTAATGTAAGTACAAGGTGACAGGCTCATACTTAGGTGTCACTTTTGAAAGAACTCTTAAAAAAAACGTAAAATTTAAGAATTCTTAAAATTTACGTAAAATTTAATTAAAATACTCTTAAAATAACCGTGACGATTAAAAAAAGAGAATTTTACGTTAAATTTTACTTCTAATTTACGGTTGATTAAAGTGTTAAAGAAACAATTAAGAAACTCTTAAAATAATACGTAAGAAATTTCTTAAAAGGCTTGAACAGTTTGAAAATTTATTATTTTAAGTAATTTTAATGTAATTTTTTAATTAAAAAAAAGTAAAAAAAAACATTTAAAAATGCATGAAAAAGCTCTTAAATGTTTTTAACAGTTTGAAAACCTATTATTTTACGTCAATTTTATGAAAATTTTTATTTTAGAAATAACTTCAAAAAACTTGTAAAAAAATACATGAAAAAACTTTGAATGTCTGCAAGAGTTGGAACTCCTATTGTTTTAAGTGAATTTTATGAAAATTTTTATCTTTGAAAGAACTTTGCAAAACTGGTTGAAAAATTGCATGAAAAAACTCTTAAATGTTGTCAAGAGTTTGAAAACCTATTATTCCACGTAAATATTATGAATTTTTTTATCTTGTTAAAAAGTTTAAAAAACTTTTTGGGAAAAACCGTAATTTTTTCTTTAAATTTCAAAATTGTACGATGTTTATAAGTATGGGAGATATGAACTGTGTGAATTTGCTCAAATGGGGGAGCCTGGGCTGTGATGTCACGCCGCGCTTCATTTCCTTACCTTTTGAATTGGTTACGGTGTTTTCGTCATCGTAAAAACCCCTAGGAACTCATGATTCAACTTCTACTTTCATACACGAATACAATGAAAAGTAGAAAACCTCGTAGAATATATTTTCGTAATCTAAGACCCGTCATCGGTGCTCTCCACAAGGTCTCGGGTCTGGGTCCGACATCATGGGAGAATGCAATAGTGTATTTTCTTCGGAAAATACACCAAAAAAATTATGCGTGCAAACTCTCCATTTCTCTGTGTAATCCGGGTTGCGTTTCGGCAGAAAAACAAGGCGCGTCCATGAGTTCCAGAATGAAGCCGAGATCAGACGCTGAGTTCCTCCCCCCATCCGCCCATCACGGTTGGATCATAGAGTAATAGCTACCAGAATAAGGGCAGCTTTGCTCCGATTCCTGAAATCTCCGCAACCCCCGCTCTGCCTACCGTTTCCACGGGGTAAAAGCGAAGTCCGCCGATCTCACCCTACGTCTCTTTGCCGTTTCAAATTTCGCGGGGCAAAAGAGGATCTGTCTCGAATATTCTATGCTCCAGGCTACAGAATATACAGGCTTCCAGGCTTCTCGAACGTTCGGCACGCGCTGCGTGTTCGCGTGTTGTGTTGTGACCGTAATCGTAAAGTGTAAAGGCTGCGTAATTGGAAGAAATCTGCGTAATTAAAGTTTTTAAAAATTTCCGTTTATTATCGCGGTTTTTACTTTTTTAGGCCCTGTGCACCTGTGCTGTGTAGTGTGTGTTTGATTTGTCCTATCATCATTTCCCGCTAATCACGCTATTTTGTGAGGTTAGAGATCGGCGGATTAACCAATTTCAATTCAATCTTCCACCATGGTTGTAAGTATTTTTTCTTGTCATCACAAAAAATTTGTAGTTTGTAGTACTCACGTTGGGATCACGAGGCCAATGGACCCTCGAGACGTCAGGATTCTACTACTTAAGTCTAAACGATAACTGTTCCTTGCCATTATCAGCACGTGCCATTTTAATTTAAGAATTAGGTTCAGAGGTGAATAAGGTACAATTATAATTCCATTATCATGAAAGTGAGAGTGCAGATTTGAGGTCAGGAGCTCGTCAAAGCTGTGGTGTCTATGTTGAATTACACTGTTGTATTTGAGTCTTTTCCAGCTTAGGATGTAGTTCCCGACCGTTCCGTTGTCAGTGTGCACATGCATGCGCAGTGACTGTACAGTGGGCAGCGGGCCACCACCGACTGCCCTTATAGCCTGAGTATGTCATTGATCGAACTGTCGGTCTGTACAATTGACAGTTGCTTATGTAAAAGAGCTCATGGCTGTAAGTACTTTCAGGTTATAGGCACACCTAAAATTGTGCTTCTTGCTATACTAATGAGCTAAGACACACCTCAGCACAATTTTGCAAATTGACAGAATGATTTCAGTAATTGAAGGAAGTCAGAACATGCCCTTTCTGCAGGTTGTGACATCGTGCCTGCAATGCTGCCATTACCTACTTTTAAGGGTTTTTTTTTATGCGGATCGCTGTGGATCACGGTGAACATCGGTATTTTTTTATTCTGTTCCTCAGCCGCGTTCCAAGTGGATCAGGGTGCAACGCTGGATCGCTCTTCCGAGGTGGGGCGAGCTCGCGAACCAATGTGATCCTAACCTTTTGCGAGGAACTTGCCGTCCCCATCAAAACATAACAATACCAAATCAAACCAAATTCCAAGTTTGGATTTTTTTATCATTTGGAACACTGTGGATCGGTCCGGATCGCTCAGGATTCCGATCCAGTGCGATCCACCCTGATCCGCAATAAAATAAAAGCCCTTCATATTCGAGTTTCATGGCGGATTATTTCCCAAACATTGGCTATGGGCTGTAGGCTGTCCAAAGAAGTTACTTTTCTGCTGAAATTCGTATTAGAATGGGACCTCATCTTCTATTAACATGTAAGGTTCCAATTAACCCTTGGAGGGTTTGTCTTGGGACGTTTTAAATATTTCTTAGTATCCGCCTCGTGATTTTTTCCAGAAATCGTGCGGTGAAAACTGAACCATTCTTAACCAAGCATTCTTTCACATCTGTAATCATTTATAAAGTATGGAGCCAGATGATGACTCTTCCTCGTCTTCATGCAGTAGCGAAAGGAGGGATGAACACGGGCCTTCATTGGAAATTGTTTTTCCCAGCTGCAGCACTCCAAAAAAAGATAGCAGCAGACATGGTAATATCCCCTCATTGGTTTTCGAAAACGAATCCTCTGTTGAAGAATCAGAGTGTTCGCCAGCTAAAGTTCGTAAAATTGTGCCGAGCGTCTCTGGAAATGAGGAAAACTCTCTTATCACCTCGAATCTAAGTTTTTCCGACGCAAGCAGTTTCAACGACTCTGTTGGGCAGGCTTCTATCGATGAAACGTCTCTAAAAAAACCTCTTCACACGTACACAAGGGCGGGTCTTTGGAAAAGGCAGCAAAGGCTCAGTAAAGGCAAAGTAAAAGCAACTGAGATTCTCTCAGATGATGAAAGCACCTCTGTGTCAGAGATTCCAGATATGTCTAATAAGAGCTTCAATGAATCTGAAACTTCTATTGCTCTCTCCTCCTCAGGAAGCACCTGCGTTCAAAACTTAAACTCAAATATTTCCTTTGATTCTTATTCTGCATCCAAAGAAGAACCCATCCTTGAAAATCTTGACATAAATGATACTCTCTTTAATTCTACCTTTCCTGAAGCACCAGCGAATCATCATTCTGATCCGAATGTTGAAGGAGTAGCTAGTGTGGAAGAAAATTCTAACAACTACTCGGTGAACAGTTATGAATCTGAAAGTGATGATTCGGGAGATGAATTTGATGCTAATGTCTTTGAATGCTCTGATAATGGCCCATTGCACTCTGATTCAGACAATACAGATGATGATACCGAGAGTGAAATGGATGATGAAGAATTCTTCTCATACTGTGAATCTCTCAAAGCGGATGGTCCTGCAGTGAATGATGAGCTTTCTGAACTGCATGAATTTCTTCGTAGCTGGGCTCTTAAGCACGGAATCACTCATGTTGCTCTTTCAGATCTCTGCAAAGGTCTGAAAGATACTCATCCGGAGTGCTTTACTCAGTTGAAAAAAGATGCTCGTTCGATCTTGCACACCCCTAAGGAACCACTCAAGCTAATTAAAGTTGACCCAGGTGAATACATCCATGTTGGACTGCGCCAACAGTTAAATTTCGCATTTTCTCTTCTGACTACTGTAGTCACATGTTTGTCCCTACTGTTCAACATTGACGGAGTTCAGTTGTATAAAAATACTACGCACTCATTATGGACAATTCTAATGATGGTTCCCTGCATTCCTTCGTTAGCCAATAAAGTGTTCGTTATTGGCCTCTACTATGGTAAAACGAAGCCTGAAGACGTGAAGGCTTTTTTACAGCCGTTCATTGATGAACTTCTAGATATTATCGCAAATAATAATTTTTCCATCAATGGTGTCCCAGTGAAAATTGACATATTTGGATTTTGTTGTGATACCCCCGCTCGCTCTTATATTTTATCAACAGTTTCGCATACAGGATATTTTTCATGCTTTCGCTGCACTTCAAGAGGAAGAACTGTTGCTCATAGAAGAGTTTTCCCAAAATTAAACAGTCGGCCAAGAGAAGATACTAAATTCAGAGCCAAACTTTACAGAAAATTTCAGGTGGGAGAAACCCCACTGCTGCAGCTCCCTGGGCTAAATTTTACCCGAAGTTTTATATTAGATCCAATGCATCTAGTATACATCGGTGTTGCCAAAGGGCTGATAACATTGTGGGTTAAAGGAAAGCGACCCCACAGATTGTCACCAGCTCTGCGTAGAGAATTGCAAGTAAGGTTAGAGCGCTGCTTCTATTTTATACCATCTGAGTTTTCAAGGAGGCCGAGGGACCTAAAGAACATCAGTATCTGGAAAGCCACAGAAGTACGTTTATTTCTGTTGTACTTGGGTCCTGTGATTTTGAGACGAATTTTGGGACGTAATCAATATTTGCATTTTCTTGAGCTAGCAATAGCAATGCGCATATACCACAGTGCGGTCCTTTGTGCAAACGTTGAAAACAGGAACTACGCTAAATCATTATTGTTTCATTTCGTCGAAAACATCAAATTGCTTTATGGAGTGAAGTTTGTCTCTCATAACTGCCACACTCTAAATCACTTGTGGGAGGATGTAGAGTACTTTATAGGAAGTATTGAAGACTTCACTATAGATTGTATATCAGCATGGCCATTTGAGAACTTCAATCAATTTTTTTCAAAATACACCAGAGGGCGTGCCAAAGCACTACAACAACTTGGCAGAAGACTGGCAGAATTGTTTTCCTCAGAATATTGGCAGGCCAAATACTACGCCAAAAACAAGAGCTTGAATGGTGAACTTTTGGATAAGCACAGTGATGGGCCAGTTCCTTTGTTATGCAAAGGTGTACAATATAAAACGGCTCAATTCCCGGCCTTCAAACTCTCAGTGGACAAGTTAGGGGACTGCGTTTGTGGGACCAAAACCGGAGACGTCATTATTGCAATGAACTTTATTCATGATAGAAAAAATGGCGTTAAATATGTTGTGGGAAAAAGATTTGAGCAGAAAAGTAACTTTTTCATGGAGCCTATGCCTGATAGCCAATTATACGGAATATCAAGTGTTTCCAATCCGTCTAAAACCGTACTCACTTGGCCTTTGTCTGAAATCGTTGTGAAATACGTACGTGTACCTCTTAACGAAGAAGAATATGTTGTCCTCCCATTATTGCATTCTGATCTTACACCGTCAAATTTTTGAATATCTCTTGTCCTCAGCTTTTCTCCTCTTTTGTAAGTATGAAAGTCCTCATGGCAAGCTTCAGTACAAATTGATTTTTCCCACTGTTTTCTGCTCTTGCTCCTACTTTATTTTCAACGCTTTGCCTTGTCCTGTCCTTAGCTAATTCACAACAGGCAGAATAAGTATCGATTTGGTAAGGAAGCAGGTATCCTTACTGCATCGGTCAACTTCTTAAGTGAAGAAATAATTGCATTTTTTCTGTGTGTGGAGGCCATTCAACTTGGAGTGTTTGAAAATAATGACTTGCAGATAGTTATAATTATGTTACCTCCTTTGAAAATTTATCATCCTTATCACTAATTCCTCATTGGACCACTTGGAACATTCAAACCATTGTAATGCACTCATCAGTCATCAACTCTACTCTTTGCTGCATTTGTATGAATGGAAATTTCAATATTTAAGCACTATTACTGAGGACCGGTTGATGTTTGATGAGAACATTCCAACGGATTGAGTTTTCTGATAGATCCACCAAAGAAATTCATTCTAAATCTAGTGTACATCATTGAAACATCCAAAGAATGAAAAAAGAATTTGAATTTCTGTTTAAATTACGTCCATAACTGCGTAAGACTTGGATAATCAGAGTTCAGGAGTGTTGCAATTTTAAAAAATTTATATTCACTTAAGAAATTAAGAAAGAGGCACACAACAGGCAGTATTAATTTTGAATTGAACCAGCCCTCACACAAACAAGCAACCAGAACAAACAGCATAAGAAAAGAGAAAACCTTGACCAAAATTAAGACAACTCCGTTTAGGATTTATTGCACTTTTTTCCCACTGGAGAAAACTTACATTTTAATTCAATTGAAAATTTTTATAAATTCTCTTAATTTCAATTACAGGGCTCAACCAGCCGTTCCTCGGTGAAGAATTGTCTTTGGACCTTAGTAAAATTCCATCACGGTCCAGAAGAGGAGCTGGACATTATCTGCAGTAAATGGATCATGGAAACAACCAAAGAAATTGAAGTAGAAGGAAAGAAAATTGTTTTATTTGATGCTAAATTTCCCAATGCGACGGGGAAGGAGTTGGAGGCTATGGTTAAAACCTGTACTGATCTAGCTGAAACTGGAGATTTCACCATTATTCAAGTAGAAATAATTGAAAGTGACTATGGTGAGTTAGTACCTTTAATATTTCTAATTGGACTCTTGAAAGAAGCTCTCATGTTTTGACATACCTATTCTTTAACTTGTCAGGGCTTCTTAAGAAAAAAATCCTCCTTAGTTTTCTTAATTTTTAAGGATCTGTGCAAAATGCTGGAATGTGCATGCTGGCTTGATTTCAAAATTTTGTACGGTGCTCTGCTACATACAATTTTAAACTTTTCTCAAATGTTTCGAAGAATCGTTGACAGATTCCGGTAATTTGCTTAACCTCTTGAAACCAAGAACCAAGAAACCTCTTGACTTTCCTGATCATACGCAAAGTCAGGATTCCTCAATTCCATGTTTTCTGCAGCCCCCTAATTAGCTTGTTTCCTTATTGCCTACCGAATTTGATCTATAACTGATTAAGCACAAAACATTCGAAAAGTACATAATTTTAATGCTGCTGTAGGCAACAAGTCATTCTTATCTTCAGGAAAGGAGTGAGAAAGTAGCTTTTTGGTTTGGAAAAACATGGATGGTTAGATATATTTTTTATTTATTTTTTTTATCATTATTAAGATTTACGCTGATAGCAAAGTTATGTTTATTTTTCTGGCCTGTAAGACTTTCTTAGAATGAGTTTTTAGAATATCAAAATTAAGCACTGAAGATCAGCCTAAGGTGTAACCTAACCCATTGAAGACTCCTTTCTAGACACTACCTATAATCGTGTTTCAGCATCCAAAGAAATGTTTAGGATATGTCCGAAACAGGTACTTTTGCTACCAGGATAGGTATTGGAAAAACCTTTTTAACGCAAGCGCTTATTTGATTGTGTTTCTATATTTCCAGATGATTATTCAAGTGCCTTGGCAGATTTAGTCAGAGTTTCTAAAGGAAAGAAGTTAGCAAAACAAAGCGAGGATGAGAGGAGTCAGAATAAACGGCCCCGCATCAGATCAGATGTGGTAGCAAACGCCATAAAACAAGCTCAATTATCGTCTAAATCTGAGACACCAAAATCGAAAGTGCACCAAAAACAACAAGAAGAGGTGGCTAAGTTTACAGCATTTGTAAATACGCTTCCTATCCCTCCTTCTAAACCGCTCAAAGGAAAGAGCTTGTCTGGAAAAAAGTTTTTAACACCCTCACCAAGCCAGACTGAAGCAAAAGGCTCATCTGTGAAGAAATCGCTTACATCTCCATCCAACCTGTCCGAAGTAAAAGATACATCTGCTACTGAACATCCTACATCTTCAGCTAAAGTCGCTGCAACCAAAGACTCGCCTGGAACTAGTATTCATAAATCATCAAAAAATGAGTCTGCAGTGTCGAATTCAAAGTCATTGAAACGAGCAAAGGAAGACCGAGGGCAGAACTTGAACTGTCCTCATCATAAGAAGTACCATAAATGTTCATCCCAGGGTGAGATAACAAACGAATCTCTGGCGGCTGGTCTTTGTCAAATTTCATGTAAGTTTACCTATTCTACCCAAGTTGAACTTCTCAACATACTGCATAGCATTGAGATGAACACTTTCTAATTTATATTCGGTAGGAATTAATCAGTCCCCTCACTTCCCCATGCCATCTCTTAGTCATGTAAAACTTGAGGGTTTATGAAGGATAGAAGACAGTGATTACCATGTTTGCAATCCTCTTAAAGTTATTAAAGTTGCACATAATTTTGCCCGTTTTGTGGTTCTACAGCTTGACAGTTAATGCCCGATCGTTTTTTCTTTCTTCACCTTTTAAATTACTATACTGTAAATTTAAAAATCGAGAACTGTATAGTTTCCTTCAGCTGAATGTGGAATAGGTGATGCAATTGTGATTAACGCAAAATACAATTTTTATTTATTTATTTTTTTTAACAGGTAACGAAACAAATTTGAACTCACAATTGAATGAATACATATAAGTAATTGGAGTTCTTCAAAAAGCATTGCTGTCAATGATATTTTCAATGCTCAGTACGTTAATAATCATAACTCCTAATTTTGATAGGTTCCTCAATCATGCTATGGTTTTCGCCTCCTCATTGGTATACGAAAATATTTGTTTCATTAAGTAAGTTGAATTTTCAAGAAAGGAACCCAGCCGCATGCAATGCTGCTAAAATTGAGCAATTTCCTATACTTATTAAGAAAAAAACCTTTTTCAGTTTTTATTTTTAGATACTCCAAAAAATTGGTAATTTTGAAAGATAATGATTTGGAGGAGTTCACTTCCCTAACTACATCCTTTCAATTTTTGTGGATAAAGGTGAAGTTGTCCTATCTCAGTAACATTGTACGTTGTTTGGTTCCCTTCTGATAAATTTGATCAAAATGCATCCCATTTTTCTGATTTAGGTACCCAGTATGAGCACAGGGCTGAAATAAAAACTATTTTAAAGAATATGAGGAGCGAACAGAACAGTTCTTCTTCATCTGCTGCAACAAAGGAAAAACTTCCCAATCAACTTATGCTGCATGACGTTGATTTCTCTGTAATGGAGTCTCTGCCAATGAGGTCAATTACAGCAGTAAAACGCATGGAGGAGAAACTTGAAAACCCCGATTTTTATGTAAATCTTGTAAGTCTACATAATTATTTTCTTTGGTTTTGTTCCAACTAGTTTTTCTCACAGCTAATACGAATCCCACTAAATTCTTAAATGTATCACAGTTTTATCTAAAAAGGAGGGTACTTGAGTGATTTTAGCTCATGAAAATAATCAGTTAGAGATTACTTTTGTTATCATCATTTAAATGTTAATTTTTTTATGTTGCGTAAGGTCTCAGCTGGCAAAACATTTCAGTAAAATCATATACTGTACATTTCATTGTGCAACATTTTTCACAGAAATTTCATTGTCTTCTCAATTTTCTTTTTACTAGGTGAGTGCATTATCTTACAATGTATCAAAAAAAAAACATGATACCAATACCGCAAGAAATGTTTTGCATACTCTGGTGCATGATAAAATCACCAAAAAATTTACATGGGCTGGACAGTCCAAACAAGGACAAGAACATAAATATCCTTTTGTGGCGATGAAGCTAAAAAGTGTTGTTTTGGGTAAGGATTACTTCAAGTGCTTCCTCTTTAGTTCTAAGTAAGTATTTTTTCCTTAAGCCATGAGTGATAATGGAGTTGTTGCCAAATCTTCTGACAGACAGTTGGCCAGATTTAAAGGTGGGCTAAATAAACTTACCCTCACAATTTAGGGGGGGGGGGGG